CGTATATATATATATATATATATATATATATATTGGTTGATTTTATTGTAATGATTAAGAAATTTAAACCTGATCATCTATGTGTGAGTCATTTGTATCTGAGATAATATTTTCCTGAATATCAACTGTCTTTATAGGTTCATGGTAAGAGGGAAGTTGAAGGAATAAACGATACTATCCTATAAAAATAAACTGAACCATCAAATTAAGCTAACTTTGATGTAGAAACACGAGAATCGGAGAAAATGATAGGAGCAGAGGAAAAGGAGCGCTTACGCACCAACACACGCGCACACACAGAAGCTCGCGCGCACATGCACACACACGCACACACAGAGTGTCATTAACAGTAATTAAATTTACACTATTTACATTACTCGGACTATTGTCCTCATCTTTGTCGCCATATTTATTACAACGTTTCGGCCGTTGTACGCTCCGGTCTTCTTCAGCTGGATGGAATATCGAACTGAACCCTTTATTTCGCTCACGGGTAGACTGTTCTAGTTCCACATGCCATGGATGTCAACTATCAGTTATTTCCTGTTAATTCCTCTCTCTATGTTCTCCACTGCCTTAACCAGGTATTGAACTCACACCCTTTGAGTCCGAGTAATGTAAATAGTCTACCTAATACCTCATCTCTGAAATATAGACAGATCATTAATTTTAGCCTGTGAAAATTCACTGTTTTCTAACTTGAAATTTCTGATAATTCTTCAGTTAGTGATTGAATAAGCTCATACTGATTTCTGCGACAATAAAATATCCGTAGAATTTCCACAAACACATCGTCAAATATTAGAACTTAACAACTATGACAGAATATTGAAATAACAATCGTAAATACGAATGCTGGTAGCCATTACAAAAAGTTGAGAGGCACGGTGGAGTAATGGATAGCGGTTCGGATTGAGGAATCGGGGAGCCGCGTTCGAATTCCGGTCGAATCCATTACATTCACTTACGTGCTAATACACTTGGGAAAGGTATAAATCCTCTTCTATGGGTAAATAGCAGGACAGACCGTGTTCTATACCCATGGATGGCAACTGGTCTACCGCAGAAAGAAATGGCGACCTACTATGGTTTAGTCATGTATCAAAGGATACATGATCGCCTAAGCGTGTATCACGCATGGCACATAACCGCCTGAAGGATATGAAAGTATTTGACATCGACAAATGTTTCCATTTGGATATTCTCCTTCTGTCTTGCTTTCATTTTCTCACTGAAACCATGTATCGTCTGTGTTGTACTTTGTCATCTCAGACGATCAAAACTGAATGGTCCTTTATTTATGAAGTATTAGCAAGAGACGTTAAACACTTCTATCTTTCTTTCTTTTTCGCTGAAACCAAGTAGCGTCTCTGATACGTCAAAACGGAATAGTCCATTATTTATGAGGTATTAGCAGAGCGTAACGGTCGTGTGAACTAAAGAAGAGAGAGATAAGCACAATTAGTATATATTGCTAGTTTCCCTATGAGGAAACAATCGGTATTCATTGACTGTGCAGATTTTGTATAAAATCTTTCTTTTAAAACAATTTTTTAGAAAATAAGTTTCTCACGTCTGTTATCGATCTTTCCAGTATTGATGGGAATTTCCTTACTAACCTTTTATCTGATGTAGTGTGGAATATCGAAATCTTGATTATGTTCTTATTTTCTCTTCAAGTTATATATCCATTTGAGTTGTTACTGCTGTTGAAAGACCTCAAGCAATGTGGTTTCTTACATTTGGTACAGTGCTTTATTTGTGATTGTATAGCGCCAGTACACAAGGTCCAAAGAAGGGTAAAAGCCACAGGCGTAAAAATAACCAGCGATGCGAGGAAGTGGTTTAATGCAGCGGACAGTTCAGATATTTCTGAGTGGGTTTTAACTCCATGTACGGCATTTATATGACATTCTCAATCTGGTGAGTTATTTAAGAACATCTCGATTTTTCAGGATCGTCGAATATTACAGGAGACCGATTAATCCTTGCTTTGCGCAACTCTGCTGTAATGGTTACCAACTTGATTGGCTAGATGTGTCACGACAAACTAATGCGTGCGATCTTCGCTCGGTACTCCATACTTGTCAGGTTTGCGTTCAGCAAAATAAAGGGCACTTCGATGTGATATAATGGTAACCATCTTGATTGGCTAGATGAGTTACGACAGACTAATGCGATTTTCGGTCGGTACTCCATACTTGACACTTCTGCGTTCAGCAAAATAAAGGCCACTTCGATTTAATGTAATGGTTACCAACTTGATTGGCTAGATGTGTTACGACATACGCGTGCCTGTGATTTTCGGTCGGTACTCCATACTTGACACGTCTGCGTTCAGCAAAATAAAGGGCACTCCGATGTGAAGTAATGGTTACCATCTTGATTGGCTACATGAGTTACAATAGATGAGTGCGTGCGATCTTCGCTCGGTACTCCATACTTGTCAGGTTTGCGTTCAGCAAAATAAATGGCACTTTGATGTGATGTAATGGTTAACAAGCTTGTCTCGCTAGAACAAGTCGGGAGATCGATCCTCACAGGATGTCCCATACATTTAGCCTTGTGCCACATCTAAGCTACGTTTAGAAAATCATTTGTGCATTTTGATGTCGTGAAATGGTTCGCAAACTTGTCTAGATATATCAGTTACGACTGAGTGCTCACTGGGTATTCCGTAGTTCTGGCCTTGTGCTACATCTAAGCTACGCTTAGAAAATGATTTTGGGGAACCTCGAGTCCGTGTAATGGTTAGCAAGCTTGTCGCACTAGAACAATTATGACTGAATAGTGAGTTCAATAATCAGTGAGTGCCACTTACATTCGGCCTCGTGCTGCATCTAAGGTACTCTTGGAAAATCACTGGGTACGTCAACGTGGTGTAATTGTTAGCAATCGTTAGATCAATTACGACTGAATTAGTGAGTTCGATTCTCACTGGGTGTTCCGTAGTTGCAGCTCTGTGCCACATCTAGACTACAATTGGTAAATCAATCTTATACTGATGCGGACGCAGACCCACATGGACATGAACACACTTTCTGATCGATAAGTTCCTTCATATTTTTCTCTTCTCTCTCTCTCTCTCTCTCTCTCTCTCTCTCTGGTGCGAACAAAGATATGTGTATAATATTGAATTTTTTGGTCATTATATGTATAATTAAAACGTTTCAGTATTACACATATATCTATCTATCTATCTATCTATGTGCGTATATATCACGGACATTATAATTAAATATTTACTAGCGTATACAGTTTATAATAGCATAAACATTGGTAAATGTGATAAAATGTTTATTTTCCCAATGAAGAAACACGGAGACACATACATGAACACATGCATACAAAAGCACACACGCATATATGTGGGTGTATGTATGTGTGTGTATGTATGTGTGCGTCTGTGTCTGTGTGTAGAGACAGATAATTCAATATTGACATAGGTCGGTATATACATGAATATCTGTAATTATACATGTATATATATCGCTAGATCTATCCTTTATTAATCACTCTTTCCCTCTTTCTCTACACCCCCCATATATATATATATATATATATATATATATATAATAAAGCCGGTTGACGAAAATGAATAAATACACTGTTTAATAATAAATAAATGTAGCGTCTACACTAATGTAAGTGTCCATTATAAATAGTGTATAATATACATATATATATATATATATATAAGCAAGTGTAAATGGATATAAATCCGATAGAATGAAGAAATTTTGAAAAAACAAACAAAAATCCTTAAATGTAGTTAAATGAAAGAAATGTCGACGTCTGACGTTTCGGTTTATTAAACCTTTTTCAAGACAAATTTTCAGTTATCTGTTCTGAATAAGACTTGTGTTTTTATGTCCATCGTATTTGTCATATTGAACTGAATTGTATTTTGATGAATATTGTCTTGAAAAGGTTTAATAAACCGAAACGTCAGACGTCGACATTTCTTTCATTTAACTACATTTAAGGATTTTTTTTGTTTTTTCAAAATTTCTTTATATATATATATATATATATATATATATATATATATATATATATATATATATATACTCAACTCACCCGTCGAATTCGACGTATGAGGTCAAACAGATCAGTTCCCAGGGAACCGACAGCCGAACAACAGCACATGAGATTTGATTATAGTGGTGAAGGTTTCGTGCAGGACCATCCACACTTTTTGAAGGGCCGAATACAAGGTCCCCGAACGACCCTCTGCAGGTTTTGAATTCAGAGTTGTCCTTCTCCTAGACCAGTTGCCATCCAAGGCTATAGAACCCAGTCTGTCCTGCATTTTACCCATAGCAAGAGGGGGAAGAAGAGGATTCACACCTTTCCCAAGGGTATTAGCACGTAATGTAATGGATTCGACTGGAATTCGAATTCGGCTCTCCGATTCCTACACACACACACACACACACACACACACACACACACACACACACACACACACATATATATATATATATATATATATATATACACAAACACACACACACATATATATATGTGTGTGTGTGTGTGTGTGTGGATATAGCAGGCCGATGAAAAAAATTCGCGAGATAAAAAAATCAAGAAAAATGATAATAAGTATATTGAAGTATATTTGCAGATGGAAGCAAGATGAGAAAAGATTATAAAAATCGGAACTTTCGGACACGCCTGTAGCCTTTCTCAATGAAAATTATATAATGAAGTTGTACTTTAAGTGGGGCGGAGGAATATTTTATCTTTAGAATTGCTTTAATCGGCACAACTATCTACCCATTATAATCTGCTAATTAAAGTCAACTCTTGAATTAAGTGCCGTGACAAAAAGTTAGAGTATAATGAAAATAAATATTGGTTGTGTAGAATTGTCATATAATAGATTTACTTTTCTGTCTGGCTCTCTTTTTCTCTCTCTTCTTACACACACACACACACACACACACACACACACACACACACACACACACACACATATATATATATATACACAC